CAAACTTGTGGCCTTTTATTTGGTGAGACTAACCTAGCTGAAAATTTTTGAATATTTTATTTGCGTAGTTTTCCAACAAGCATTTCCTGTTGCCATCTTTCTAGTTTTTTACACTTTAATTGTCTTCCTTTTCTAATATCAACTCATCTTTTCATCCATGAATGAATCCATCTTCTCTCCATCTATTTGTCTCTATAAGTGGCACGGAGCACTAATAAAACATAATATAAGGAGACGGGAAATGTCACTGCAGGCTCATTGCTGTACCTTTGTTTTTTACAGATGAGGCGAGCGTTTTATTAAAACGGCTGCCTGAAGCTGCTTCACACCACATCACCGTCTCTGAAAACAAGTTCTTATTCTAATCCTCGTTAAATTCAAAATAAAGCTTGTTGTTGTGTTGAGGATAAAATGTACCCATTATTTCCTGCATCTTCTCTGAAGACAGTGTATTTAGACAACATCCAATGGTGCTTGGCCATTACATTTGCAGCAGATGCTTTTCTCTCTAATTAACGCCAGCAAAGACAACTCTGACATTCAGGACCAACAGAAATGTAAGCGCTCTCTTCACCACACTCACAGACGCTGAAATCAAGTCACGGGCGCTGCTCTTCTCCCTGCTTGGCACATTTACACAAGCTTTAGGTTAATTGGATGATCTTGAGTGGCTGGAGGAGTTGATGATGAAGAGGAAGCAGAGAGACACTAAGTAAAAAAAAACTGAGCGAGATGTTGAGCTGCACAAAAAACAATAAAGGGGTAGACGAGGAAAGGAAAAGGACATTGAGACCAATTTGATGCTTTTTCTGGTCATTAGCTGAACGCTGTGGTGGGTCATTAGCTCAGTCTGTCCTGTCAGCTGGTCTCATGATGCAGGAAGAAGAACACCTGCTGAAGGTGGCAGATGGCAGAATAAAGAGCCCAGAAATAGAAGCCCGTTAGAGGCAAGGTAGCTGATTCAGCCTCTGCTCTGTTTGTCTAATTAATCATTTAAAACAATGTCATGTTGAGTGTCATCACTGACTTAATGATACTTAAACGAGAGAGTAGCTGTTAACATAAATATCAGTATCATCAATATTTAAGACTAGTTAATAACAAATATTCCTTGTATTAATATGTATCCAGTCTTTACTGCATGTGATGGTGGGACTTTGTTTGATCCAGGTTTAACCAGTTGGTTTTGTCAGACAGCACTAAATCAGTGCAGGGGGAGACAGTACAGCTGCACAGTGTAACCATCATACCACAGCAAACACTGAAGACGTGACAAAAAAGTGGCGTTGGAAAGTTAATGCGTCATCGCTCCTCAAGGTGGGATTTCTCATTAGCCTAAAGAAAACGAGTGAGTAGGCTCAATGATCCAGGTGAATAAATCACAAAAAAGTTGAATCGTGTCATCTGGACAGATTATTTTTGGAAGAAAACGTTTCGTCTTTCATCCGAAGGACTTCATCAGTCTGAAGTCTGCCAACAAGAGCTGATGTATTAAACAGCACCTTATTGACATGTTTCAAACCAGTCTGCTGTGGAATTCCCAGAAACTGGCTTTACACGTGTAAAATTGAGGCTCATCAGTCTAAAACAATCGATCATCAGTGCAAGCAAACTGTTCAGATGACATGATTTAACTTTTTTGTGTTTATTCACCTGGATGATTGAGCCTACTTACTCTTTTTCTTCTTAACCATTGGCCACATTGTCTTCAGGCTGGTTCGGTGAGTAGTAAGCAGCCATTTTGCCTATAACATTTGATTGTTGTGCACTGATTATTGATTGTTTTAGACTGATGGTCCTCCAGTTTGCACCTGCAAAGCCAGTTTCTTGGAATTCCACAACAGACTGGTTTGAAACATGTCAATAAGGTGCTATTTAATACAACAGATCCTGTTGGCAGGCCTTTGTGGCAATGTGATTATAAAAAGTCATAATGATTATTAAAATAAATCTGGATTGTGTACTTTCAAAAGTAAATGGAGCGGCTGTGGCTGAGTGGTTAGAGCAGTCGTCCATCAATGCGAGAGTTGGGGGTTTGACTCCACCAGCAGTCACGTGTCAAAGTGTCCCTGGGCAAGACACTGAACCACTCATTGCCTCCGATGTGTGTCCCATTGGTGTGTCAATGTGATAAAGCATTGATTAGTCTTTGTAGAGATCTAGTAGAGTGCTGTATGAATGGGTAAATGAGGACACAGGTTGTAGCGTAAAGAGCTTTGAGTGTCTTAATAAGATAGAAAGGTGCTATATAAGTACAGTCCATTTACCATTCATACATGGAGTCCACATCCAGTGGCTTTATATTTATTTTACGTGTGTTCGTTGAAGATTTGGTCACAGGTTTCTTTACATCCACTGGGTCAGTTGTTGGGAGTCAAGTCAACACGCCTTCCAGACGCCTCTCTGGAAAACTGGGATGGATAGATCACGTCTCTTCAGACAACAAGGAATTCACACAGAATGGAGTGGAGGTGTTTTATCTGTGACTATAAAACACAAGTTTAAAATTCTTGAACTCAAAAACAAAAATGGAAAAGCAGAAACTGAACTTTTTTAAATGAAAATTTTAACGCTTAAACTCAGAAAGCTCAGCAAAGGTTTGGCAGACATATTTTTTAATCAAAGTCTTAGAATTTAATTTTTTTTGAGCATGCAAAATAAAAAAAAAAAGACAAAACATAGAGCAAATCCCACCCCCCATCCCTTCCCTCCCACACCAGATCAGTCACACACTGACAAATGAATTAACAGTCATTGACATGTTTTCTACGTACAACATGAATGGCTGCAAACTGTACCAAAACCTTTGAGCAGAACCTTTCAGGGTTTATCTGGTTGTTTCCAAATGAATATGATACATCACTTCTCTTATCCAATGAGCATATGCTGGGTGGGTGGGGGTGGGGGGTCCTTCCAACTGCACAAAACAAGTCTCCTGGCCCGGATCGTGGTTAGGGGGCCAAGAAAGAGCCAAAAGCAATCACATCCTTCTCGTACTTGCTGAAGGACGTAGCCACAGGAACCACCCCAAACAGTGAGATGAGTGGTAATGGATGCATAGTTTTTGCACATATCCCAGAGAAAGTCCCAAAAATAGATTGCCAAAAGGTCTGGAGTTTGGGACTGGTCCAGAATATATGCAGGAGTGTAGCTGGAGTTTGTTTCCAATGATTACATGCGGGGTCCAAGTCAGCTTTGATCTTGGACAGCTTGTCTTTGGACCAGTGCAGCCTGTGCACTACCTTGAATTGAATGACAGCGTGTCTCAGACAGATTGAAGATGAGTAAATGTTCTTAATGATCTTTCTCCAGATTGAGTCTGATATGGGTTCCTCCAAGTCCGTTTCCCATTTCAGTTTAAGGGAGTCAAAACTGGACTCATGGTATGAACTGAGCAGTGTATAGATCTTGCTGAGGACCCCCTTAGTATCAGATCTGCATTCCAAAGTCTTAACCACAAAATGTTTAGAGGGTACAAAGGATAACAATTAGAGTTAGACCTTACAAAATGTCTCAACTGTAGATATCTAAAAAAAAACTATGACGTGGACATTAAACTTCTGTACCAGCTGCTCAAAAGAGGCAAGTCTACCATCAACATAGAGATCATATAGTGAATGTAACAGAGACACTGAACCTAATTCCTTTAGTTGTTTGTAATTAGTGCCATTCTCCTGGTTGTTCTGTGGTTCTGTGTGAAGTCCTCCAAAACTCATAGAAATTAGTAAAAAGAACATCAAGGTTCATGCTCAATAATCCAGGTAGAAAAATCCAACAAGTTGTCAGGTCCTCTATACAGTTTCTTTTTGCTGAAACATTCCATCTTTCATTCAAAAGACTTCAGCAGTGCAAGAAGCCACAACAAACTAAGTCTTATACTGTACATAGCACTGGTTGATCCACTATGTGAAGGTGTTATTTATAAGACTGAGTTTGTTGTGGCTCCTCTGACTGCTGAAGTCTTCTGAATGAAAGGCGAAACGCTTCAACAAAAATAAACCGTCCAGAGGACCTGACTTAACTTTGTTGGAGTAAAATGAACCCTCAGTCAGTGTTTGAGACATGCGCTTCACTCCTGGTCAGAGCTGATGCATGCTTCCAGTCTGACATTAGCTCTGTTTAGCCACATTGCGCTGCCCACTCCTTTATTTCTATATCTGTGTGTTGGCCGAAGCACAAAGAGCACGGCAGTTTGCCGAGGAGCATCCTGTAAGCTGAGATGCACCAGAGCACGGCAGCCTGCCAAGCATTGGCCAAGGAAAGCAAAAAGCACAGGAGGGATTTAGTCAAGTGCTCATTTAAATATGAGTGAGCAACAGACTGTTGAATTTGAATGAGATTATAAAAAGAAGACTGAGTGGGATGAATTTCAGTTTCAGGGCATCGCATGTATTCCCTGTTTTTTGTGTCTTCACCCCTCACTCCCTTCGCCTCACCCACCAGCCTCCCAGTGGTGAGATAATGACTCCCGACAATAAGCAGGGGGGAGGAAGTTGTCAACTCGTCACCACAGTGGTTCTTACGGCACATGGCTGCTCCTCCCCGCCAATTTATCTGTGAACACACCAGCAAACAGGATCTGGGTTAACAGAGCATCATATCTGCGTGCAGCTTCCACTGCAGTGGTACGCATTGCACCTCTGAAACCTCCTCATCAGATCCCAACCTTCACAGCAAAACCATTCCTACATAAATATAAATATTGTGTTTGTGTGTGTGTGTGTGTGTGTGTGTGTGTGAAGGTGGGGTGTTTAGGGAGCCTTTGGGGCTGGCTTTATAAATCTTCAAAGCTAACATCAGCAGCAGGTGGAGGGAAGAAGGGGGGAGTATGAAACAGATGGCGAAGAAACAGTGATGGGGGATAAAAAAACGAACTCGGAGGGTGGGAGAGCAGATTGAGAGAGGCAGAGAGGGGAGGGTGGGAAGAGAAAAGAGGTGGGATGAGAGTAAAGAAGGAGGGGAGATTCATCCAGTGAGACAGAAGTTTCAGCACTGCGCTTCAACACACAGCCAGGACAGAGCAGAGGATAACCAGCATCCATACAGGTGAGGTGTTTCCTCTTTTTTCTGGCAGGTGACTTCCTAACCTTTCTACATGCTCAAAGTGGACGTTCAGGTGCAAGTTTGGATTTAAACAAGTTCAGGTGCAGCTTGAGTCGAGAGTGTAAAAGCATGGAGTGTACATACTGGAGCATTAGCCAGGGGTTTATGGTTCTTATTGACCATTCACAATGGGCTTTTTTATCTTTAACAAGTGCAAGAGCAGATTTTCTGGATGAGCTACAAGACGATGTAAGTGTCACTGTTGTATTCAGGGATGATTTGAAAGTGCTGGTGGGAAAGCACTGTGCTGTTTCCATGAGCATTCAGCAGTCAAGCCACATCTGAGCAGCATGCATTATTTATCTGCACTGATCTCCAGAAACAGCGATACCGCTACAGGGACAAATAGAGAAATGTATACGGTGGAAGTGTGAAGATCCTAGGTGGCAACAACCTGCATATTTTATCTATTCATTTGAGCCATTTGACATCTCTGGGACATCTTGGCACAATAGGTCACTGCCTGTTGTTAGAAGTATATCCTGTGGATTATTTATCTGTCATCACTGCAGAGGAGATATCAGTGATTCCCTGGCAGAAAGAGACGGTGAAAAAGGCTGAGGTGTTGAGATGTCGCTTATCTTCAGATTAGAGGTCCACTCAAAGGAGCGTGACTGTTTTTGTCTGCAAATACAGTATCTTAATCCATATGAGTGTAGCACATGGCTTGTTGCAGGCTACAAACTGATTGTGTGGCTCAGTGTGTGTCCTGGACACACATACGCTGGTGTTCATTACAGCATCTGTAAGTGTCTGAATCCAGATGCTTGTCCAGCTTCTACTGAGGGCTCATCACAGCTGCTCATGTCATAGGAGGAGGCAAAAAAAAAAACTAAGATTAATGTGATATAAAAACACCACAACATCACCCTTTATTGTGAAGTATTGGTGTCCTTCACCC